GACATCCCCTTATGCAAAGACAAGATCTGTGTCTAACGAGTGAAAAAGAAATAAAGACCCGCATAAGCGGGCTAAATCAAGATAAGTCACCAAGAGGTCCATAAAAGCCACTGAGAGGCCCATCAATTCTGAGAAAATTGATCGACTGGTGTGAAATCGGTCGAAAAACTTCAATGCTTTCTGACCAGAAGCCGACATGAATTTTGTACAGTAGGAGTGACTCTCTCCTCCCTAACGACAAGATCTACAAATGAGGAGTGAAAGTCACCCTGAAAACCCTGGTCATCACTCTCTCAGGCAACAACATGATCCATGCTAGGAGAAATGATAGATCAAGACTGGTGTCCGCTTAAAAGACAGTTCAATGTAAGCAAATGGAAGAAATAAGAAGCTGATCAACCGAAGCATTGTGATTAAGTTGATCTTTGTGAATCCACGGGCTAACTCGAGAGCAAGCCTTTATGAAGGTCATCACCTCAGGCAAAACAAAAACTCTCACAATAAAGCCGAATGACAAAGGTAATGACAAAATAACAAAAGGTTTCATTTCATTAATATGTAAAGAATAATGAATCCTTTTACAACGCTAACAACTACTCAGACTAAAAAAAAGGTGGGGGTTCCCACTTTGAAGGGTCTTGTCGGACGACCGACCCTTCATCACTTCCCGAACCATCTTCCTCTTTGAAACTCTCTATCAGATTAGCCCAGGTGAAAGCGAAGAACTCTTTTTGGTCAGAATACTTGGGGTCAACCAAGCCGCAGTGCATAAATTATCAAATGGCATAATCCACCACAAGCTTAAAGTACTTTGCCTCTGTAACCTCAAGTTGCTCCCTAGAGACTGACGAGGTAACCTTCACTTCCAGCTCGGTAACTCTCTTGTTCAAGGTAGCTATGGTACAAAGCGACTCCTAGTTGACTCTATCGAATCTGTCAAACTTACTATGTAGAAGGTCTCGGTCATCTTGAAGCCTCTTAAAGTTGGTCTCTATAAAGGCCTCATTTTTCTGGGCTCTATATAATTATTCTTCTAGCTCGAACATAACCAGCCCTGAAAAATGGGTGCTCTGAGCTGTCATTAATTACCATAGACTGGTATTCTGTAAAATGTCCCAACAGTCAAAATCCCTTATAGTACGACCGAGCTCCCTCGACCACAACAGGTCCAACAAGGTTGAGGTTTGATCCTTGTTCTCCTCCTGCAGCGGGAACCAGTTTAAGGATCAATCCAACAGGCCAAAATATTCGCCAACCCTAGCCATATCTTTCTGGCACTTCTTTTTTCGGGCTCCCACTTAAAAACATCCTTGCTCCGATTCAAGCAAAGAGGACTTATGACCACTACATCCTCCAATGACTCCTTCCCACGCCGTCATATCATTACCCTCTTCGAGGAGGTTGAGGCCTGATTACCAAAGAATGAGGTCGATGGTCCCAACAAGGAACTGGTTGTAAAGGTGGGAGTAGCCCGACCAGCTTTACCTCACTCGAATAAAGCGACAAAGGATGGAGCCTCATCTCATGAGTTCAATGGAACGTCGACATCCGAAAATGCGTTGTACGGTGTGCAAACTCTTGAAGACAAATAGGCCGGTTGAAGTTGTCTCATCTAGGACACTCTTGAAGAAAGAAGCCATCCCGTCTCTTTTCCCTGCATTAACAAAATGTGAAGTGTGTTTTCTAGGAATAGCAGTGGCCTTGCCAGTAACCTGATCTTGAATAACTACCCCATGAACGAACATAAAGACAAGATATCTTGAGGCCACGCTGGGAGTGGGCGAGGTGTCATCCCTACAAAATTTTCTATCTCTGAGGAGCTCTTCTGCTTCTGGAGCCTAACAACTAGCTTCTCCTTCGCTTCCCTCGCTCATTTCTCTTCTATGATGTCTGAGTCATACCGCAACGCCTTTTTGATCTCACCTGCCAACACATGGGTAACCATCACTACTAATGTATATTGCGGGATTGACAGATGACAACTAGTTAACATCTCCTTAGCAACTTTTATGCTCTCCGAGAGAGATTTTGGCTTGGACGGAGAGCGTTCGACTGGCTTGTATCGAATCTCCCAAGCGCCAGAACAGGAACCAAGCAAGAACTTCTTCTTCCAGTCCTTCATCATGTTTTCCACAACTGTCAGGTAGAGCTCTTTTCCCATTAAAAACATGGTGAATCCCTTCATGTTGACCTTGAAGGAGAAAAAAATACTTAAAGAGGTTGATATGTCATGAAATGTGCACCCGCCGATAGAAAAGAGTGAACAACATTATTACGGCTATGAAGTTTGATATTACTTGCGCTGGAATAACCCCATACATATTAAAAATTCTGTGAAGTCGTTGCACAAAGGCAACCAGAGGCCATACTTGAACCTCTCCTGATAAAAGACCAGATCGTCACCTAAAAGATCTGTTGCCCAAGAAAACGTAGGCAACTTCCAAAGGGTGAAATTGTCGTGCATGACATACATCCTTTGCAGCTCCTTCACGTCGTCTCCATCAAGAACGAGGGACCAGTGCCCTTGACGGAGCCGGAGTGAGTGAGGGAGTGCTTCAGAGCCATTACAAAAAACCCAGAGTGACTGAGAAATGAAATGAAAGAAGAAGGGAAGACAAAAGCTCTGATACATAAACCTAAAGGTGTAAAGTAAGGAATTATGACCCTGCACCTTATTTATAAAGTGAACTCTATAAACGAAGCGTAGAAAAATGATGAGAAATGTACCAAACATCTTTTTAAATTTATTCAAATGTATTTTCATTTCCAAATGACATTATTACATGTCCAAAATAAAGTATTTTATGAGGGGGTCTTCTGAAGCCCCTATAGGAAAAAACTCCCTATGAGTTAACCTTCAAAGGACCATCGCCACTCCTATCCTAATCTTTTCCATTCGATCTGCCTTGCAGCGAAACTTGAACAACTCGATCGACCATAAAAGTGTTTTTAGCTCACGTGACACCTCGGCTAGACAATCCCTCATAGCAGCAACCTCAGCCACAAACGAGCCCAAGAACACTGGAGGGACTGAAAGCCCCTGTACACGTTCAGTGACTAGGCCTTTGGCTGATCCAGTCGAAGAACCTACCCTCACAGCCAAGGACCCTATCCCCTCTACTTGTTGCCCCATGGCTCCTTGGGAATGTAACCGCTACTCCGTTTGCCCCTGTCTAGTACCAGTAGCTGACAGAAAAGTAAGTGACTAGTATGCTTCCAAAGAAGATGACACATAATCTCCGCAAGCTCGACCTTTAGACCACGGCAACAGCATTTTTCGACTGCCCATCGTCCGCGTGACCCTCAATTCAGCCAATTCCTCTACACATAAAAAAAATGTCATGGAACTATTAAGGGTTGACGACAACCAAACAAATCTCTACATACTCATAAATCTATCCATTTAGGAGAAGGTCTCCAGACGTCTTTCCCTGCGAGGCACCTTCATCTTCCCGCAGCAAAGGCTGAGGAGAGATAACCAATTTTCATTCTCTTGGGCCTCTTCTCGCCCTCCACGGTGCTTTCAACCAGTAAAGCTTGTGAGACCATGAAACCCACACCCCTTCCAGGCTCATGAGTCATGGTCTCTTGACGAGGGACCTTCAACACCTGCCATGCATGGTCCTCAAATGAGCCGACTTGATCTACCAGCGCAGGTTCGGTCCTCGACCGCTTTTCTTTCTTAACCTCGCTCTTCCTGCAGAATCTGAGGGCCCATAGCCCATTTTTGCCAGCATCTTAGGGTATATGTGAAAAACTTGAAATCGTCGGTCATGGCTGGAATCAGCTGATTAGGAAATAAATGACGACAACTAATGAAATGCTGAAGCTTATAACTCTGTTTATAGAGCACACTAAGCACAAAATCCTATAGGAGTTGATTTTTAAATTGGTTTTCTCGATTCTAGTACCATTGAATGATAATAATTTTTCTATCTTTATTGTAGCCGCCGTTTTTCAAGGATTAAGAAAATTCAAGGAACTAATATGTATAGACTGCAACTATCGACTCAAATCACAAAGTAATCAAACGGTCTAGATGACGACCAGACAATCAAGACATCCTACCATCCCACATCAAACCACATGATCAAAGAATTGACTGACATTCTATGGTGAGAGACTTGGATGATAAGCCACGCTTGCAGTCCGACCAACCATATAATTAATGTTTATTTATTTATTTTTTATTTTTTTAAAATTACATTCATATTTTTAAAAAGTCAACTACTTTTTCTATAATATTTTCAGGTGAGATTAATAAAATTAAAATAAAATATATCATGAGGCAAATCTTCATATCCTAAAATATAACTAAGCATTAGATACTACAAAGTAAATTTAAGAAATTAGCACGCGCATTAAACACTAATTAAGAATTGTGCATGAATTTTTGTCTAACAATTTAACCTTATTTATGCTTTAAAATTTAAATTTGCTGGCTAAATTTAAATTTAAATTTATTTTGAAAAAGCCTAACATAAATTAAGGACATGCACAGTAAAATTTGTCTCATTATAATTTTTAATGCCTCATGATATAATTTATTTTAATTTTATTAATGCATCATGATATAATTAATTTTAATTTTATTAATCTCAGCTGAAAATATTTTAGAAAAAGTAGTTGACTTTTTTTAAATGTTAATGTAATTTTTTAATAAAAAAATTAAAAATAAATAAACATTAATTATATTCAGAAAAGAAATATAAAAGTTAAATATTTATAACAAATATGAATATTTATAATAAAATTTAATTACTTTTAATAGAAATAAAAATTATCATGAATTTAGAAAGGTAAAAGTAAAGGAAAAAATATATTTTTTTTTAATTAACGTACAGAATCCCAGTAAGAAAAATAGTAAGTCACGGGCACGGGATATATTCTGTTGAACCAAAGGAAATAACAGCGATTTTATTTTCTATTTTTTAACTTTTAATTATTATTTAAACCCAGAACGGGTGAATTTTTTCCTATATAAATCACCCAAGCCGGCTCATGCAAATCTCGCCAGCTTCCCCTCCCCTTCCCCTATTTTCAATCCGTTAGGGTTTCCCGGCTGCGCCTCCTCCTTCCTTCAGCTCTGTGGCTCCGCCTACACAGCGGCTGTCGGCATTAGGTAATCATTCCTTCGTCGTCCCTTTTCTTCGAGTCGATTTCCGTTGGCGTAATTTGTTCTGGTTTTCCCATCGGTAGGTTTTTTTCGTTTCGCCAATCCATTTTTTACTCTCTTTTCTCGTAGATTATAGATCTAACGACACCGCTATATTTGAGGTTTCCGTTCTTTGCATCTCGGTGAATTGCCTCAAATTTTTTTTCCAAACCACTTGATTTTTTTTGGCATCCACCATCTTCTGAGGGACGGCGTGGGGATATCCGGTCTCTTTAACGGCGAGCTAAGCCATCCCCCCTTCTTTTTCTTTACTCTTCTGCTACTTTTGGGGGGGTAGCCGGGGCTCCGGCCTCGGCGGCTTTTAAAGCCCCCTTCCCTACAACCGAGATCTGATAGGACCCTAATTTTTTTTTTAATTCTTTCATTAATTTATTGGGGAGAGATGCCGGCCCTGGCTTGTGTAGAAACTCCTGTTCCTCCTGGCCATGGTTTCGTCTGGGATGGTTCTCTTCCCCTTCCGGGAGCTTTTTCCTGTGGTGCTCCGGCTACTGCGGCCATCCCAACCGCCCACGATGTTCATGCATCTTGGTCTACTGACCTCTCTGCCGCCCTCTACAAGATTGAAGGGTGGGGCGCACCATACTTCACCGTTAATGCCGCCGGCAACATGTCTGTCCGTTCGTGTGGTTCTGCAACTCTTCCATACCAGGAGATCGATCTAATGAAGGTTGTTCAGAAAGCATCCGATCCGAAATCCTCGGGTGGCCTCGGTCTCCAGCTACCGATCATCGTCCGGTTCCCTGATGTTCTTAAGAACCGCCTTGAATCCCTCCATTCGTCCTTTCACTTTGCCATCCAGTCCAGTGGCTATGATTCTCACTACCAGGGCGTTTATCCGGTGAAATGCAATCAGGACCGCTACATCGTGGAGGATATTGTTGACTTTGGCTCACCATTCCGTTTCGGCCTCGAAGCAGGATCTAAGCCTGAACTTCTCCTTGCCATGAGTTGCCTTACGAGAGGCAACCCTGACGCGCTCCTTATTTGCAACGGCTACAAGGACTTTGAATACGTCTCCCTCGCTCTAATGGCAAGAACCCTTGGTCTGAAAACCGTGATTGTTCTTGAGCAGGAGGAGGAGCTTGTCACAGTGTTGGAGGCAAGCCACAAGCTCGGTGTCCGGCCTGTTATTGGCCTCCGTGCAAAACTTAGAACCAAACATTCTGGCCACTTTGGATCAACCTCCGGTGAAAAGGGTAAATTCGGGCTGACTACTGCTCAGATTCTCTCCGTGGCAAATAAGCTCCAAAAGTTGGAGATGCTCGACTGCCTCCAACTCCTACATTTCCACATCGGTTCCCAGATCCCGTCCACCGTTCTACTTGCTGATGGCGTCACTGAGGCAGCTCAGATCTACTGTGAGCTCGCCAGGCTCGGCGCTGGTATGCGCGTGATTGACATTGGCGGTGGCCTGGGCATCGACTATGATGGATCCCATTCTAGCTGCTCTGATATGTCCGTCGGCTATAGCCTGGATGAGTACGCTTCTGTCATGCATCCCATTCTAGCTGCTCTGATATGTCCGTCGGCTATAGCCTGGATGAGTACGCTTCTACTGTGGTTCGGGCCATCCAATTCGCTTGCGACAGAAAGCATGTGCGCCATCCGGTCATCTGCAGCGAGAGTGGGCGTGCCCTCGTCTCCCATCACTCCGTCTTGGTTTTCGAAGCCATCTCTTCTACCGTTGTCGATCCCGGTACTCTTGGACAGAACCTCGTCTACCTCTTGGACGCGCTGGAAGACGACGCCTTAGCCGACTACCATAATCTGACGGCTGCAGCGATGAGGTCAGAGTACGATTCGTGCATCATCTATGCAGATCAGCTGAAGCGGCGATGCGTTGAACAATTCAAGGATGGATTGCTTGGGCTTGAACATCTCGCTGCCGTGGATGCTCTCTGCGACCTGGTGGCAAGGGAGATGACTACCACAGATCCAGTGCGCACCTACCATGTTAACCTATCAATCTTCACATCAATTCCAGATTTCTGGGCAATTGGTCAGCTCTTCCCCATCGTCCCTATTCACCGCCTTGACCAGCGACCGGCGGTTAATGCCGTGCTCTCAGATCTAACCTGCGACAGTGATGGTAAGCTGGATAGTTTCATCGGCGGGAGGAAGAGCCTCCCTCTGCACGAATTCTCTAGCGGAGGAGGATATTATCTGGGGATGTTTCTCGGCGGAGCGTACCAGGAGGCGCTCGGAGGACTGCACAATCTGTTCGGCGGGCCAAGCGTCGTGCGCGTGGAGAAGAGTGAGGGTCCCCATTCCTTCGCGGTTACGCGTGCTATGCCTGGCCCCTCATGTGCCGATGTCCTGCGATCGATGCAGCATGAACCTGAGCTAATGTTCGATTCGCTGAAGCGCCGCGCTGAAGAATACGCTCACAGTGAAAGGGAAACCATCTCCTGCGGCCTGGCCCGCGCCTTCAACTCCATGCCGTACCTAGTCCTCACCGCCGACGAAGTTATGGCCGGTGAAGCGGATGCCGTAGCATCGGCGGGCAGCTCCGATGATGATGATGTGGAGTGGGAGTTAATGCGTTGCCTAAGCTTTTGATGCTCTGAGGTGGTCGTGACTCGTAACCAAAGTTGGATTTGTGTTGTTGTAGTGCCCAACGTTTTAGTTTTCGTGTTTTTCTATAATTGTTAGAAGTCTAATTGTTGGGTAGGATTCAGCGTTAATTTCATGGCTTTAGTTGATGGCTATGTATGTAGAGGCAATAGTACCTCAACTTCTCTTTTGCTTTGTGTTAGTAGGGGAAACCTAAGGCTTATCTAATTGCCTTTGTAATTTGTCAAATAAATCAGCCGTTTTTGTCTTCATTTTGATTTCCATTCGGTGGAATGACTGTTCTACTGGAATACGAATCAGGTTTGAGCAGAGATTTTGACCAAGGGGAAGAGATTGATGGTTGGAAAGAAAAACTCGCTGTAGTAGATCCCAGAAATGATAGTGCATTATTGCGTGAGAATTTTTTCATGCTATAGTCCAAGTTGCATTTTTTCTTGAAAAATTCTCATTCTATGGTGGTCAATATATCATTCTGGGTTACACTAGAACTACCACCGTGAATCTCAAAGAGAACGAATGACAAAAAATAAATAGCTTCCTTCAAAGGCAAATAGTTGACCGACAAGTCACCGTCAAGCAGATAAAACTCATCTCTAAACCCGGTTCAAGTCAAAGCTCTAGAGATGGACCTTCACCCAATAGCGAGATGATCCTCCAAAAGGCGAAGCGTTATTCATCTTAGCGGTAGTTTTGTTGGATACCTCACAGGCAATGATGAGATTCGCATAAGACCATACAAACATGGATATTCGACGTACTGACCAGATAGACGTAATGCAAGCACCGTAAGACTTGAGTTAAAGCGGCAAGTGATCTACGGTTCGCCCGACAAAACAAATCGACTCATCAGTTGACCAACCGACTGATCGAAGCACAAGTAGAAACTCCTTAATCGCGATTGGACGACCGACCTGCTTTTGCCACGATATATGAGATTGTCATTCGACCGAATGCCTCGGTTGACCAAACACAAAGCACGGTCGCCACCTAGTCGATCACCTCAGTCGGTCGAATTCCAGCAAGTCGATCATCCAATTATTGCTATATCAAAATTCAAATTGTAATATAGTTATGAAATGAAATCCATACAATTTATTATAGTATTGATTGTATTAAGAACAGTTTTCATAACTATTTGCTTCTTTCTATAATTATAAAAAAAAACCTCAATAAATACGAGCCAAAATAAGAATAAGAGAACTCACCTGATTTTCTTCACAGTAACTTTTGGTTCACTTTATTCTCTTATCCACTCAATTATAACTCTCAATGCATGTTCACAAAAGACAATTCGGGATCCAACATTCTAAAAGGTGGTGCGGTGAGTGTGGACATGCCTCAGACGAGAAACAGAACTAACTAGAAAGGAGAGACTTCCAAAAGTGAGACATCACTCAAGGAACTCAACAAAAACGCTACACAAAAAGATGTCTATGTACAGATCCAGGGCTTACAAGCCCAAATGACACTCATGATGGAGTAATTCGAGGTCCACCAGGTAGCAATCACTTAGAGGAACGACCAGCCACCTCTCATGGAAGCGGAACTCCAGGGGGTTCATCTTCAAAGGCCCCCACTAGGGAACCCGCCTATCATGCACAACCAGGTCAAAAACCAGCCGACATAGGGACAAAGTGAGTCCCAAAACACCGACACAGTCGCATATACGCAGACGAACAATGATAGGAAGAACGGATGCGATTGCCTGTCTGACCGCTCGCAGAAGAGTCCACTTCCCAAATCAAATAGACGATACCCTACCCAAGCTAAGGATTCCTCGCTTGAATTCTTAAAAAAAGGAGGACCAACCCAATCGACTCCGTTGTGTCGTTCAAATCATCTATTGGTCTACTTCAAATTGACGGCTTATTAATGTGTCTGTCTCTTCTTAACCACTCTAAAAAAGTCGACACTTCAGTGGTTCAACGACTTGCCGACCGAAACTATCCCAAGTTACCACAAGTTTAAGCGTCTTCATTTCACACTTTTCAAATGTGCAGAAGCTAATGAAAGACTCGAACACCCTGCTCGTCCTCAAGCAGAGAGAAAACGAGAGCCTACGGGCCTACATCACCCACTTCCGGAATGAGAGCTAAAAGTTTGAAGTCCGAAATCGGACATAGCCAGAATGACCTTGAAGCGAGGAGTTTGAAGCAAACAATTGCAGGTATGACCTAAATCTGTTTAAACCTACTATCACAAAAGTATTAGAGATGGCGAATAAGCAAATACTTGCCGAAGAAGACCTCCAGAGCTCACCGAAGGGTAAGCTGGAATCATCCAACCACCCGTAAAGGGTGTGAAAAAAATGGAGCAAACAACAAAGGGTGAAAGATAATTAGTCTCGCCGATCACCAAAACAACAAGTTCGATCCCGAGATCAGCAGAAAAACGGTCAAGGCAACCATGACCGAAAGATGCGCTCTGAATCAATGGTTGGCTCAATCTTATGAGAAACCGCTTGTTTACAGGGAAATGCAAGGTTTGACACTCCTTAATGTGTCGATGGTCGAAATAGTCCAGACCATCCAAAACGAGGACTGCTTCAAACCGGGCTCGCCATTAAAGTCACCCCTGGCTTTATGAGATCCGAAAAGATACTATCAGTACCATCGTGACCACGGACACGACACAGAGAAGTGTCGTCATCTCTGAAACACAATCGAGGAACTCATTTGCACTGAAAAGCTTAAAGAATTTGTTGCGGTCAATGCACATACACAACGAGAGGATAAAATGCCAGCAAAAGATCCCTCCAACGGGCTTGTCAAGGCAAATGAGGCCCACGTAGCAGAGATAATCCACGTCATCTTCAGGGGATGACCCCGTCCCTCTGGTGTAAAAGACAACTTCGTGAAAAGTATGTTGTCATGTTGTACACATGTAAACGCTTACCTATTGTCTTTACAGATGCAGATCTCCCACATAAAAGGAACCCTTTCAATGAAGTGATCGTCGTCACAGTAAGAGGAACCCTTTCAATGAAGTGATCGTCATCACAGTGATGATCAACAACTACCAGGTGGATAGTACTCTCATTGATACATGAAGTATTGTGAATATCCTATTCAAATCAGTGCTCGATAAAATCGGTCTGAAGGTTGATCGGTTAACAGCATTAGCTGACTGGTTAACTACACTGATCCACCGATTAACAACACCGGTCGACCCATTCAAATTCTTTGGGGAAAAAATGGAGTTAGGTCTTGTCATTCTCTCCATCTCTTGGGGTGAGCCAGGAAAACAGTATAACAACACGGAGGATTTTCTTGTGGTAGAGTCATTGTCGACCTACAATGCTATCTTTGGTCGGCCGCTCCTGAACAGCTACCAGGCAGTAACTTCCACCTACCGTGTAGTCATAAAGCTCGTAAGCGACGGGGAAGTAATTACGATCCAGGAAAACTTGGAGCAGTCTAAATGCTATTATTTACGAGCAATATCGAGCGTCGACAATCAACCGCTTGACTTCTAAAATTAGAGAGAGGATGGTCTTGAGACCAATGAGGCTGTCCTCCATGTGCCAGTGTCCAACAAAGTACCCAGTATAGTTTTTCTAATCAGTGAATGTTTAGATGAAAGATTCGGGAACCAATTTGTACAGAAGCTTCGGGAGCGCCTGAAGGTGTTTGTTTGGACTGCAGAAGAAATGCCCATCATTTCGATCACCACAACGTGCCACCGACTGAACATCAATCCCTACTCTCAGCCGATCCAACAAAAGTATCAGGTTGACTGTCAGAACTTTGGCTGAATCGATAGCGGCGGATGTACAAAAGCTGTTGGACTTCGACTATATCCAAGCATTTTAGTACTCTACTTGGCTCTCGAATGTTGTCATTGTGAAGTATGTCAATGGTAAGTGATGGATGTGCGTCGACTTCTCTAACCTCAATGTCGCCTGCTCGAATGAAACCTACCCCTTGCCGAAGATTGACACCTTGGTAGACGCAATGGTCAAAAATACTTAGTAATGAGTTTCCTCAACTCTTACTCCGACCATAAATCTAGCTGATGTATAGAAAACATCATTTATTACTGTACAAGACACCTACCTCTTGCTGAAGATTGACACCTTAGTGGACGCCATGGTCAAATACCTAGTAATGAGCCGAAAATTGACACCTTGGTGGATGCAACGGTCAAATACTCAGTGATGAGTTTCCTCAACGCTTACTACGACTATCACTAGATAGAGATATATCTAACTGACGTAGAGAAAACATCATTTATTATTGTACATTTCATTTTTTGTTTTATTGTCATGCTTTACGAGATTAAAAGTGTGGGGCGATCTATTAGCGCCTCATGGATGTAATTTTTTTTCTAATAAAGAAGGAAATAATATTGAGGTGTATGTCAATGATATCTTAGTTAAAAATAAGTCAGCTGAACAACAAATTGAAGAATTAATAGAGAACTTCGGAACACTCAAAAGATTCAATATGAGATTGAACCCTGCTAAATGCACCTTCGAGGCATCGATCGGTAAGTTCCTCGGTTTCTTGTTGACTTTCGAGGGATTGAAAGTCAATCTTCAGAAACTACAGGCGATCCTAGACATGTTGACCTCATAGAGCACCAAGGAAATTTAAAGACTGACCGGCTGTCTACTCGGACAGTCGTTTCATCCCGAAGTCTCTTAAAAGAAAGCTTGAATCTCCCAAAAGAAGAGTCAAAATCTCCCAAAGTTGAACTAGCCGAAGCAGCAAGGAGAGGCTCAGCTGCTCTAATCCTCCTTGTCAAAGCCAAATTGGTTGCATCAAACTGAACATTCGGCGAAATTACAATGGTTGGCTCATCCGGTACATCGATGGAAGGTCCCACAGTAGCAACCTCCCCCTGGGTTTCCTCAGAACCCATTCCCGCTCCCTCGCTTGGCTCTGCAATAACCGAGTGAGAATGCACAATTATGGTTAACTCATCGGTCACTATATCTTGAACGACGACCATAGTCTCAGAAACAGATATTATGCATCCCTAAATATGCAGGATGAAACATTTAATAACATTTCACCAAAATTGAAGCCAAATATAGGATAGCTTGGAAAGTTACTGAGGTTCTCCTCAGGATCTGTGATATCCCCTAGTTTTTAGGGAACTTGTCGGTTTATATAAAAAATGGTTCGCAGATTAAACGTATATCATAAATTCTTTAGTTTATTTAATCGAGTCTCACTACTAAGTGATATGTCTATTCTTTGGGGTAGGTGTGTCACTCATAGTGTTGTGCTCGTTTATTTAAAATATT